CGCATTGAGCGCCTTCCTAGCTTCTCGTATTGCCGTCACTGCTTGGGTCGAAGCTTCTTTCCGGTACAGTCTACCACCCACGCTCACTCGCCTTATTGGCCCGTTGTCGGATCTGAAGGGCGAGATATCACCTGCTACTGTGGAGGGCAAAGAGCTGAGGCTGGTTGTTCATGAGATGAGGGTCCTGAGTGAGAGGCTGGTGGAGTTGAAAAGAGAGCATGAGAGCGTCATGAGGCGAAATCCGAGTCTGATTTGGCAGATGGATGAGCCGGGTGGGAATGCTTATTGGCCGGTTTGGGAGGATGTTCTTGCAAATGGGAGTGGGAGGTAACGGCAAAAGCGCGCAAGAGTTTGTTTTTAATCATTCGGGGATAGTCGCAGCGGAGTTCGGTATGTGTTTCCACATGCTTTCTCGGTGGATGGCGTTTTCTTCATATCTCATGAACATATCTGGGCAGATTTAGATTTTTGAATACGTACCTTGTCGCTTTAGCTAGTTTAGGTCCGTTAGTGATGTATATATACCCTTCTTTTCGGTTCAGAACTTACATGATTTCCTATTCCAATCTTCACTTTTTCAAAACTCAAGACCACATGCCCATGCTGTGTATTCACCAAAAAACACACACACAATGAGCATGTCTGGTCTGCTTTGGCGACTTGCGGGAGAACGATAGTCTCAAACGAAGTGCATTTACGACTGAGATATGTCGCTGGACTCATACTTCGTTGTTGGTGACAAAACCGATGTTGAGAGATTTCTATAACACGAAACCTTCACTTTCCTAGTGGTCTCCGAAAAAAAAATACAAGCATGATCTATGTGCATATCGGCAACTCGGTCTGAGATTTCGAGTGTGTAAAGGTGTATCAAGATGCTTGTATGGCGTACTTCAGAACGAACTCTAAACTGGCCAAACCTGCGTCTGTATCCAAAAACGGTTATCGTAGCCGTGATGGCCGGAGGTGTTCCAAAGATCGTATCAAAGACCGCGGTGTGAGCATCACCAAAAGCACTGGACATCAGTCGAATAAACGGTCAGTACATGAAAGCCTACCTGTATATATCTGTCTCTTCTCTCGACCAAGAAACATAGTGAAAAGCAGGACAAATCGAAAACGAGATCAGTCCACTTCATGGTGTGAGTTGCAAGGTTTGCGTCCAAGCACCGAACTCTTTACTAACTCAAAAACTGTCTCTGTGTAATTGATGTGCGCTTGTTCAGCAGAATAGCACAAACTATGCGTGTGAATGTTCTCCGTGGGAAAGTGGAGATGACAAGATATCCAAAACAACGCCACCTCATTCCTTGAAGTTCTCATCCACTAAATCCATGGTACGAACACATACATGCTTCTTTCCTGGATCAGCCCTGGAGCCATCTCAAAATTTGGTAGTCTGGCCACATGGGTATAAATATTCTTTCCTATTCAACCCTGCTCTTTCCGAGACCATGCCTGAGTTCTCATCGTCCAAAACGATAGGCAGAATCTCCATGTCTCTTTTCCAAAAACCTCCTTCTGGGGTTCACATGTTTTGCTCATTGGAGAGGCTCCTGCGGACTCGAAAGGAGGAGAGATGACCTTCGATGCTCTAGCAGCAAGTCCGCTTGCATCGTGATTCTCGAAATGTCCGATGTGGATTTAATTATGATGGACGAGCCCTTAGCATGTAGGGAAGATGTAGAAGCAGACGTGGATGGTGTGTGATGACTTACCCTGACGCCAAGTCTGAAGCATGTGATTCCGCGTCCCGAGGTCCCCACGATTGGACAATTGCTGCGACACGTACCTTCACTTGGTGAAGTTTACAGCCACGACAACCATGCTTTTGCGCTCAATTTGAGACGCAGTATCTCACCGTTCCTCAGCTTGGCACATTCGACCAAGAGAACAATTCATCACGACCTGACCTTCATCCTTCGCGACAACCCCACCATGGCGCCCCCTCCATCCTCCCTCTACACGCTCTCTTTCGCGATTGCAACCCTCGCTACCCTGCTTGTCGCAGCAACACTGCGTCTGCTTGCCATACTTCCAAATGTGCGCTCAAAGTCTACACCACTGCGCAAGCGCCCGCTCGCAACACGTATCCTCGTCGTTCTTGGATCAGGCGGACACACACACGAGATGTTCTACCTACTGCGAGATCTAGACACACGGAAATACACACACCGAACATACGTGGTCAGCAGCGGAGACGCGTTCTCAGCACAACGCGCCGCGGAGTTTGAGCGAGGACTTGAAGATGGGGAGAAGGAGCGGCTGCGAAAACAAGAATCGGACAAAGAGGTGGTGCAACCAGACGGCACGCGAAGAAGACCTGTGATGGAGATTACAGATGCAGACGGAACAACGCATGCGCTAGAAGAGAAGAGGGCAGAGAGACCAATATGCACTGGCCCGGACCACTACAATATCGCCGTCATCCCTCGCGCGCGCAAGATACACCAACCACTCCTTACAACGCCTTTCACCTCACTTTACACCCTCCTATCTTCCTTCACACCTCTCCTCCGCGCACCACCACTTCTGACCGGCCAAGCTCCAACAACGCCATACGAAGCCGCAGCCGCCGACATCCCGGATCTCATCATCACCAACGGCCCAGCTACGGCTGTGATTCTTATCCTCGCAAGCCTCATACTGCGCTTCTTCAACATCAAGGGCGCGAACAGCAGGGGCAAATGTAAGACGGTGTACGTGGAGAGTTTTGCACGAGTCAAGACACTGAGTTTGAGTGGGAAACTGCTGCTAAAGGTCGTGGATCGCTTCCTGGTGCAGTGGGAGGAGTTGGAGGGCGCAGGAGGACGAGCGGAATACTGGGGCATTCTGGTATGAGCTCAAGGACGATTTCATGGGAGAGGTTCAAGAGATCGTGGTATGCATGATGCAGGCGTTTGATGTACATTTACAGCGAAGATACCCCACAGGCCACAGAAAGCCTAGCTGAGTTTTCGGCTTCAATCCATGCTATATATACAAAAGGTATACTTGTACAAGTCTCGTGTCACAGGCGTGATGCATCATCATGCCACCGTCTCAGTCACTCTAGTCGAGGTCGGCTGTTTGACTGGGAATCTGCTTCTTGCCCAGATACGGCTTCGTAGCACTCTTCTGCATGTGCTGACCCAATGCCGCCAGCAAACTCTCCTGATCCACAAGCGGCTTCTCCTTCTGGCTCTGCACCTTCTTCTGATGCTCAAGCTCCCACCTCAATTGCATGGGCGTCTTCATTGCCTGCGCCGCTCTGTGCTTTTGCTTTGCAATTTCTCGCGCGACCACACCCTGTTCGGAGTGTTGCGCAACCTTGATAGGACGCGGTGCTTCGGGGTCCCTGTCTTTCTTCGCTTTGATGGAGAACTCGTGGATATCGCTACGGAGTTCTTCCGCAATCGTGTCGGGGAAAGGTGGCGCAACGAGCGTATAAGCCATAGACTGCGAACCTTCGACAATGTTTCGTCTTGTATCCACGTCATAGGCCGAAGGAAGCTCAGGGTCTATGCTTATTGGAGCGGCGGTCTTGAATCGTTCCTGCTCTTGCCTTTGAATCTCGGCGAATTTGGCCTCGAGGTCGACTGGGCTCCTGCTATTCGTTGCGTCTTGTTGCGCTTGGTCCTCCTTGTTCTTGCTCCGCCAACGACTCAAGCTCGTGAACGGCTGGCTCACCTTGGCCAGGGCCTTTTTGAGTAATGTTTTCTTGTCTTTGCTTGTCTCTTTTGTGGTATCAACAGCTCCAGTTCCTTCCACGCGTTCCCATGGCCATTCCAGTCGTTGCCGTGTGCCTGCGATGTATCGGTGGAAGATGGGAAGTCCAGTTCGAGGATCGTATTGGTGTGCTTCGGGTATTGTGTCGTTCCCGTAGTCAGTACCGGTGTATGGATCGATGCCGGTGGTATGCCGCTCCATGTAGATCTTCTCGACCACGACGTCCTCGTAACGCTTCTGGCCTCCCTGGTCTATCTCGGCTGGTACCACGAGACGTACATTGCTCAAGGGCATAGGCACCTCGTTCTCTACCTTGGGCCCCATCTCTTCGGCAGCACTACTAAATAGACTAGTGTCGAAGTATTGCTGGCAAATGTTAACACTCAAACTTGATGACACAGCCAGGCGGTAAATACCAAGTTCATGCCCTTAATAACGACGTCGTGTGATCGATCTATGGTCTCTCGTACCACACCCACCTTGCCCGCCTCTTTTCCTTTCAGAATTACGACACGATCACCCTTCACAATTGGAAAGTATTTCTTATCGTCCACGACCAGCGGGTACTCGAGCTCAAGGCCTTTCTTTTCCCTAAAAGCGTTCCGGCTCTTCTGCGCCTCGATAGGTATCTCAGGCTTCTGCACCTGGCCGCCGGTGAGGACACCGTATTTCTCAGCATCTGGGCCGACGGCGCGATTTGGCCTCAACGGACCAAGTTTCCAGTCCTCTTTTGCATTGGCCAGAGCTTGCTTCCTGACACCCTTGATGCGCTCTTGTTCCCACCCTTTACGCGCAATGATGGCTCGCTTGATTTCCCATTTGTCCTGTTTGAGTCCCTGGCGCTTCTTGCGTTCCCGCTCGTGCCATTGGATTGCGTTTTTGACCTTGCGGATCTCTTTGAGTTTTTTGGCCTGACGGGCGGCGTTGCGCCCCGGCCTGACGATCAATTGGCTCATGGTGGGCGGGATGGCGGCGGTGGAGATGGAGATGCGAGGGTTTGCGGACTACCGAGCCATCGAATGGCGGGCGGCGAGGTGTGTAGTGGCGGATACGACCGGGGAGATCAGATGGAGACGCTGTGTCGTGAGGTTCGAGCCGGTGTCGTTTCCTCGGCGATGGGTTGCCGGCAGTCGTCCCTCCAGAAGTGGTGAACAGTGCATTCGACCTGGTGAGCCAAAATTCCGCGCCGGCGCCCGGGCGGTGTGGCCGCCTCGGCAGAATCCAAAACACGTCGCCCATGACATGGTGCATCAACCCTAACCATCACCACGCACTTCAGGTGTCTTCCCACCATGGCGCTATTACGGCGCAGACTGCGCTGCCATTACTGCAATACACTGTCACGCGACACTGTCTCACAGATACCTAAGACATTTCACTGTCCGCAATGCGACGCCGTGAATCACTTCGACGAAGTACTTACTCTACCGCATCAACACCCGAACCTCTCCAACTGACCCGTTCCCCAGCGCGGCAACATCACCGATCCGCCCATCGAAGAAGTCGCGACCGCCCCTCAAGCCTCCTTCCAACACCTGCGCTCCCGCTCCCCAACACCCGCCATGTCCGTACCCGGTGACGACATCTTCTGCGACACATGCCAGCGCAACCAGACCCTCTACGCAAAGCTCTTGGGTGAGTACCTTCCGGAAGAGGATGATCCGACGTATGGGCAATTCTTAGCGGCGTACGAGGACTACAAGGACGAGCTCGAGACCCGGTACCCGCAGGTCTGTAGCGAATGTCTGCCTCGAGTCCAACATCAGATCCGGAACGCGAACCATATTGCCAGAGCAGACAACCTGGCGCGTATCATGGAAGCGAGTAAACAGAAGCGTACAACTGTACACACCCACCGACAAGCGTGGACATTGAGGTTCATTTCGCTGGCGAAGTGGACCTATGTCGTGAGCACAGCAATAGGAATTGTCTGGCATGCTGCTGGACTGTACATGGGCCCGGATGAGGGTATACGGGCGTACCAAGTTTTCAGCTGGGATACTTGTTGGACTCAGGCAAAGTCGGGATGTTGGATGGACGAAATCTGTGTACTTTCGCCCGTGATACTCAAGTGGCTGAACTTTGCGATTATCGCCGATGCTCTCACAATCTGGTGGAACCCCAAGCTGAAGCTCAAGACGAACAGCCTTACGGGCAGGATGCGCGGGCTCATGTCACTATGGATGATTCGAATTACTGCCGTGGCTCTTCGTTTCCTAACCCTATACTACTGGAAAGGTCACACCATCAACAACGACACGTTGACACTATTCCGGTACACACATGTGTGTATGCTCGGAATATTAACCTTCTCGTCTATCATGACATGGAAGGCGGTCCGCATAGTCTACGGCGCCGCGCCCTCTTTTCTGAAAACGGCTCGCGAACCCGTACCCAGCGCACCCGATAGCGCACAGAAGGCAAGAAGAGGCTCTTACCACCCCGCTCATCCCCAAGCAAGCGTTTTCGATAGTATAGCGCCCGATTTTGCAAATGGCATGGATCAGTGCAAGGAGTCCTCCCCTCTTCCCCCGTCCCCCACTATCTCAGAAGCCTCCTTCACCACACATGCTACCGACGTCACCACACCCTATGCTCAGCGATCTACATTCTTGGGCGCAGATGACATGGACTGGACACCGACCAAGAATTCTGGAAGTCGGTTCTCTTCACAACCCCCAGAAATTATACCCAACCACTTCTCCAAGACGACATCTCGTCAGCCAGCAACACCCCCTCGCTTCAGAGAACCCCACTCCATCTTCTCCAAACCAGACCCGAATCCATTCCGTCACCGGGTCCCTGCACCGCCGCCACCCTCGCTCGGCGCCAACCAAAAGCCTAACCCCTGGAAACCAAGTGTCTGGGCGCCTCCTCTCAAGGAAAACGCACCCAAGTTCTTCAAAGGAGACCAGAAGGCGCAAGGAGGTGCGGGAGAGATACCGGGTTTAGATGGCTTTGGTGTACCGAAGAACGTCAAGAGGGATGCTGAGCTCTTCGCCAGCCCGAAGCTCAAGTATGAATACTACGGGACTATGAAGGACACTGGACTGGAGGACACGTTTAATGCCATGTTTACGAAATAAGATGGACTGCATACGCAAGGATTGCTAAGATTGCATAGGTGGTTGGCGTTTTGTTTGAGATACCCGGCGGCGCTTCTTTCGTATGTTGCATTAGTCGGAGTTTGTTACTATACGGAGGTTTGTGTACAGTAGTGTTCTTTCTAGATCAATGAATCATGGACAACGTAAACCTCAAATGTATTGGGTTCATCACATTCACTACCAAGTCCTCAACGGCATGTCAGCGCACCCAGCATCACTCCATGGCATACGCATACGGAGTGGGCGCTTGAACGAGTCAGATTCTATCTAACTCTCCAGCATATCATGACTTTTCATATGCCGGGTAGAAGCACAGATAACCCCGATGTAAAGACTCCGGTAACCCCCCATAGTGATCCGCGGATTCCATCATTCGTTCATGGCGGGCTTGTGGTCCACGTTCGTTTCCTTCCTTGACTCCTTGCAGACGAGTCCTCTATGACCTGGGCTTCTCCTTCTTCTCCTTCCACAGTGCGGACAGACCGACACCGGAAACCTTGACGACCTTGAAACGCACACCGGGAATATCACCCTTGGCCTTGCCCTTACGACCGAAACCAGCAAGGAGGACCTCGTCGTTCTCGTCGACGAAGTTCAAGCAACCGTCGTTGGGAACTGGCAGATTATTAGCCCACGCTCTCATTGTTGCCACAGGCTCGTCGCCGAAGCCTCTTCAATCTCCGCATAGTGACATACCGAAAGCGGTGACCTTCTTTCCGTTCTTGATCAATTGTACACGGACACACTTTCGGATAGCGGAGTTGGGCTGCTTGGCCTCAACACCGACCTTCTCGAGAACGATGCCCTTGGCGTGGGAAGATCCACCGAAGGGAGACGACTTGTAGGCGGTTCCGAGGAGACGCTTCTTGTAGTGGAGATCGGCCCATCGTCCCTCGCGGCGATGGTTGCGGAGCTTGCGGGCGGCGTTGAGACCTCTTGGCTTTCCTGATGATGTTGTGAGCAACTACCCAATATACGCCCGTGTCAGGACGGCGAAGGCGTGGAATTGTGCATTTCGCGTCGATCGGGGGCTTCTGGAGGGAGTGGCTGCGTACCTTTACCCATGGTTGCGGTATTGACGACGGGTGTGCTGGGGGAAGTGTGGTTAGTATCGCGGACGTCGAAGTATTTTCGAGAGCGGCTGGAATCAGTGTGCGCCAGAGCCAAGCCCCACAGCTTAGCGGCGCTGGCCCGGAAGGGGTTAGCGCAGCACGGCCATCTTATCTTATCGGGCCATCGTCATCGCGTCTGGGGAGAACACCAATGAACACCAGCACGTAATTGCAGTTCAAGCCAGTAGACTTCAAGATTCATAGTGACCAGTCCAATTGCCCATCGCAATACCCACACATCCTTAGTCGCCCTAATCCAACCTCATAACGCGCCGAGCGCATGCACTACCATGACTTCCAAAGACGACAAGAAAGTCACCAAGACGCAAACTAACCGCCTACCTGCGCCTGCGCTCTTTGTCGGGCCACCGTCACACAATGCCTCCAACACATCGCTGCACGAAATCCGAACACCTGCAAGGGCGCCTCTAGTCCGCCAGCGCTCACTCCTTTCTCCGGACAACAAGCGACCTCTTCCACCCACGACCACCAACGATGGCGACCACCTTAGCCTCACTTCCACGAACCCCTCGGCGCCATTCCAACGGCGCCAAAGACAGCACAGCCAAGCCGCAGATGCCGAAGCATCGTCACGCGCCGAAGCGATATGGGCAGAGATGCAAAACACGTTGGAGGAGGTTGAGCTGAGCGCCATCAAGGGCCCAGGCATGACAGTTTTCGGCTCTGAACACTCTCGAGCACTAGATGAGCTGCGGAAAGCGCAGATAGAACTTGCAAAAGCATGGGCACGCTCGGAAGAGGACGAACAGACACCCGAACAACAGAAGAAGTCACAGGACAGCAAAGCGAACGACTTGCAACCCCAGAGTCTTGCGAACCATCCTCATGACGGCGCAGGGTCAGGAAAAGGCGAGAAGCTGTTCGACCGGATCAAGCTTGAGGAGGAAACAGAAAAGGACATTGAGCTGAGTCGGAAGAGGAGAGAGGAGAACGACCGATACTTCGAGAAAGTGAACAAGGGTGTGCAAGAAGTCGTTGTAAGACTGGAAGAGGTTGCAAAGGCAATGAGAGGGGTTGAGAGCGAGAGCAAAGAGATCTGGGGACACGGGAGTGACGACAGTATGGATACCGCGAGCGTCACTTGAGACAACACGCAGCCTGAACGGGAATTATTCAAAACACTATACCCATCAACGGGCAGTGTGATTTTAGGTGGACTTTCCGAGCTGTGTCCATCAATTAGAAAGACGGAGCACACGCTCTCGCACATCCTTGTCTCATCGAGAAGATGTACGCCGTCTATGGAGGCATCTAGCAGAAACCACATGCTAAACTGATGGGCTGTAGGCTTGGTGGTGATTTACGAACAGACTGAACAGGCTGATGCAAGCCATCGGCAACAACGACAGAAAGTATAACGTGGAAACACATGTACTCCACGCGCAATGGGACGTGCAATGGGTGGTATCTTGAGGTCGCTTCGCCGACCAACACAGGTAGCGTGTCAGATTTAGTGTCGCAATGATCAATTGCGAAGTCAAAAAGAGAATTATGTCAATAGACTGAAGACTGCGTGCCTTCTTTTGCGTTTTCTACATATGTGAGATTTACGCTTTACCGCCTCTGTTTCGTACTCTTTATCCATTACGTCTACACACACCGTCTACAAGAGATAGCGGTACTCCGGATTCAGATCGCCCATTTCGGTCTTCTCGTACTCCGTCAATCCTACATCCCTGACGCTCTTATTCCTCTTTCGGTTCGAAAGACTGCACATGACAAAGTACGCGCAGCAACTTAGTGCACTGAGGCACACGAAGCCGATACTGATGGAATACCCTCGCGTATACTTTGGCGCGTCAGTCTTCAAGAACGAGTAGACAGCGATGATTCCACCAATGTTGCCTGTTATGTTCGGTTAGCATTTGATACCTCGGATATCATATACGAGGTTTCAAACTTACCAAAGCCGACTTGCCATGCACTTCCTACAGCTCGACGGTGGTGACCACCCAAGTTCATGTTGAACCAACATACAATGACCGGCATGGCGGTGTAGGCTCCCATGGCGACAAGGAAGAGCGCTCCATACTGCAGGTCATGGTTGTCGTGTACGGTAATAAGGATAGCGAATCCAGCGATGCAGACAGCGATGGGGAAGATGGTGAAAAGGAAGCGGTGTTTGAGCCTGTCCGAGAACCACGCGACAAGCATCGAGAAACCAAAAGCGGCGGCCCATGGGGGAACACTGTGCAGCTGTGTCTGGATCTTGGAGTAACCATAGCTCTGGATGATGGTGGGAGAGAAGTAGGCATATCCATAGGCAGGTACGATCAAGCCGAAGTACATGAGTCCGCCAATGAGGATCTTCGGGTCCTTGAACACATTCACAACGTCCTTGGCTTTGATAGGTCGTTCGCGTGCGGAGCGTCCTTGGTCGATTTGGAGTCTGGCTTTGACAAATGCACGTTCGGGTTCCGAGAGCCACTTCACTTCTTCCGGGAAGTTTGGGAGCAGAAAGAAGAAAGCGAACGACACCAGAACAGTCAAGAGTCCTTCCAGAATGAAGATCCATCTGCCAGAGTCAGTGATTTCCAACACAAATGCACAGTCGAAAAATACCTCCACCCCTGATATCCGCGCATGCCGTCCATCTTGCCAATCGCAGAAGCTAGCAGTCCACCAAAGGCTCCGGCCAGCGTCGTTGAACTGAAGAAGAACGAATACCGCTTCTGCGCCTCGTGTCGGCGGTACCACATACCAATCAAGTAGAAGGCACCCGGAAACATGCCTGTCTCGAACACACCAAGGAAGAATCGAGTCGCAAGCAGACCAGAGTAGTTTTGCACAAAGCCTTGCAGCATAGTAACGAGACCGAAACCAAACATGCAGATGCTGAGCCAGACGCGAGGTTTCATCTTTTTGAGAAGGACATTGGACGGGATCTCGAAGAGGATGTAGGGGACGAAGAAGATGACCAGAGCAGTGTTGTAGCGATTATCTCGTGCCAGATCAAGTTCCTCGCTGAGGCCAAAGACGTTCGCGTTTGCAATGTTGACACGATCCAGGAAGGCCAGGAGATACATGATGCAGAGGAAGGGAATGACATGGAGGTCGATCTTGGTCACGAGTTTGGACTCCGTGGTGTTGGGCGGACATGGGACAAGCGCCGGGTCGTCGTCGTAGGTATTGTCATAGTGAGGGATTGGATCTGTCTTGTCCACGTCCGGAGACGGCACGTCTTCTGCGGATGATCAGCATATTTCAACGACTCTGTATATATGGCAAAGAGCGTAGGGTGATGCAATTATGATCTGTGCGATGTGAAGCTGATGATGAGCTTGCAGCTGACAAGATGCGTCAAGCATTCCGCGGGAGTCATCGGGGCCAGCTTAGCAGATGCGGCGACTTACTCTCTTTCCTTCCGAACATGACGACGGTTGGTGAGCTTGACTCTATCCGCCTGGGTAGTTGCCTAGTGTTCGGGAGTAGGTCCGATGCCAAATTCACACTTGCATGGCACTTGCAGAGGCGGGAGCGAAGGCAATATATCCTGGAAAGCGGACAGTGAAATGGAGTCACAGCGAAGGCCGAGGTCGCTGGTACCCTAGCACAATTCTGACCACTCTCGCATCGTCGACGCTCGCCAACCCCGCATCTCTGGCTTTGGCTGTTTGCCCATGCATGCGTAAGCGATGGAGTTCCTCATTAGGAAGCTGCGCTGCCGGTCGCCAGCGCGAAGTCACGGGTACCCAAGGACATGGCGCAAACACGGCGTGCAACTAATTGTCGACCGCTCGGCTTTGGAACAAGCAAAAAGACAGGCGACATTGGCCGGCTCAAACCTGCTGGAAAAGGACCGTAAGCGTGCGCCTCGCGTGTGATGTAACCATGTGATCAGCAGTGTGGCGCCGGGCCTAAAGGGAAAAGATGCGTCGGCACGTATTGATGCGGAATAGCAAGCGCGCATCTTTCCGCATGGCATTGTCGGAACAGTTGCAGAACTCCACCTGCAGACGTAGTTGCGGCCAGGTACTGTCTGGGCTGATGTCAACTGGGGACTGTCGACATGGTGGTGAAGGGCGTGTCGGCGGTCGCTGAGCAAAGGCCAGGTTTTATATCCGAAGGGCCAACCTTGTAGTTTTGGTTTGGTCGGGCAAGCTGGTTCGGCAGCCGACATCAACTCAAGCCTGGGCGCGCGGAAGTCTCAGCGTCGTCCACACTCCTTTCCCTGTGCCTCCTCTCCTTCAGCCTCTCGACCCTGCACTCTCAATCTCGCCATCCTCCCAGCACCGCATGCCAGGCCCGAACCACGACGTGGAAGTGTGACTGCGAGCGACCCGTTACCCGTCGACGATACCCCGAGCGGCTGGCCTGCTGACCCGAGATGGTGAATGCCAAATATGTCGCCTTTACCGTCAACAAGCAGACTCCCTTCTTGCAGACGCCAGACCAGGCCTATGCCACCGTAATCAACTGCCGGCGGCCAGGCGGGAAGCGCGCGGGGCTGGCGCACGAGGTGCGATCCCACAATGTGCCGCTGGCCATGGTCGAAGGCAGTCTGAAGCGCAAGCGGGGCGACGAGTCCAGGAAGGACTCTGAGCAGGCGGGCAACCCGGCCGCCTCTTTCGGAAACGATGCGACTCCACTCACTGCGGCACCGGCCCGTCCACTGCTTAACCAGCAGTGGCAGCAGCGCAAGCCGACGCGGTTACGAAGGGGCAAGATCCTGTCCAAAGGCGTCGACCTGGACTGCTGGTTCATCATACTGTCCTACTCGGACCCTGCGCAGCTGCTCGAGATGCGTAGCAAGATTGCCTCATGCTACCGGTTTTTGCGGGATAACCCCATGCTCTGGAAGCATAGCAGGGTTTACTATTACGGAACCGACATGCCGGACCCACCTCCAGGTCTCACCGAGTTCCAGTTCGCCCACTTGCGCCATGGGCATGGCTGTATGGACTGCGGCGCCCCAAACACTCGCAAGACCTTCTGGGCCTTCCTGCGCCGCATGTGCAAAGACTGTCTCAACACCCAAGTCATCAGGGAATACGATGCTGTTGCCCAGCTGAGAGGTCCAAACGGCGAAGACGTATCCTATATCCGCGCTGCCTTGCCCAGTGGCATCTTCGATTCATGGGGTAACTTTGTCGGCGTGGGACCAGCGAGTACGCATGCGCTGAAGACCATCTACTTGCGGTCAGACGTGCAGAAGCTCGTTGCCGAGTTCCACAAGGAGTCCAGAGAGAGGGACCCCAACACAGAAGAGACGGCTACATGGTGGACTGAATGGCTTGCTGACAAGGCCAAGAAGGTAGAAGAGCGCCAGATGTTTGCAAAGAAGATGGAGCAGTGGGAAGAGATGCAACGCACGGCTAGAACTTCTGACTACACTGCAAAGAAGTTACGGCGCAAGAACTTCTTCAAGGAAAAGGCGTCCCAGCTCGATCCACCCATCAGTATCAAAGAGCTAGAAGCGTGTCCGGCATACAAGCGTGCCATTACCATCCCCAAAGACCCCAACAGCACCTCCTGGGATCTTCTCAAGCCCAAGATTGTAAAGGAAGCCGCCGAAAATGCGGCCAAGAGAAACATGGAAGAATCGCGGCCGGCAACGGCATCGACGTCCGGCATCTCTACGCCTACCGGCAGCCTGGACGGTTACCCGCACACGCAGCCGTATCTCGGCATGATCATGGGTATGCCTCCGCACAATGGCATGTACTGATCATATTTTCTTAAGAGTTCACGCTGGGACGAGTAATACGCGAGAAAGCTAATGTTTCGGGTAATGATTGCATTAATGTCATGGCACTGGAGTTGGAAATTTGGTATGGCTTCTGGCTTCTTCACGCACACAAACCCAAGTGAGCATTTCTTTGCAAGGCGTTTATCAAGACTGGGAACCGCATTGAAGGACAAGGGATAGCAGGCGTTAACTGTACTGGCTTCTTTTTCATTACCGATACGTATCGTACGCCCTGGATATAATTGAATCGAAATTTTGCTTGACAAATACCTGCGCCGAGGACAGTGAGGTACCACAGCTGGATCGATAAAACTGCCTCTTCGAGCGATGCACCCACTTTTGTCGTTCACGCCGCTCATCGGAGAGCAACGGCATGTGGGCATGGCACGAGTCATTTCCGGCGGCTTAGTACACGAAAGCTCTGGTTGGCCACCATGTCCTACCCAAGATCACAAGCAGCGACGAGACACCAGACATCGTCTGTGATACCACGTGTCGAGCGTGGCGATATCCACTGCTAAGGATATCAGACAAAGATGCCGCAGAGCCTCATCAGGTACCCCTCATCTCGCTCGCTGGCCTGCGTCGATCGACGCCACCACAGCGAATCACAGAGCGTGGAAGTCGGCTTATGCACGAGGACAAAGCCCAGCCCTGCGAAGCTACAAAACCACGGGTCTCCCTGCCTGATAGTCTCAAACTCGAAACCGTCATCTGCTAGAAGCGTGGATTATATAACCCAATCGGCGGAAATGGCTTCACGATCGGAAAAGTGTCGCGGCGGCATCAGATATCGTAATCCCAAGGGTCCAGACGATTATGCCCCGTAATGCGTCTGATTGGTGCAGAGGCTATCAAAGTGGGTCGATGCCGTTGTTTCCAGAAAGATTGTCGCCATCTGAGTCCGAGGCAACAAAACATTATCTTTAAAAGCTTTCCCGTGCCTACGCCCTATTCGCGTTTGTGTTTTCACTCTCTTTGACCTTCCTGCCTTTGTGCTACTGTCAATTGACCTTCTAAGAGGCAAACTGCTCCACAAGTAGCCTATCAACAGACATCCAGCTGTTGCACAAATTATTCTGCTCGGCCGCCTCGATCTCCCATCCACCGTCTGCACAATGGCATCTGCCTCGCGAAACTTCTCTCGCGCCCTGCGCACCGCCGCTCCCTCGTTCCGCACCACCTCGACCCGCTCCTCTGCCCGCTTCGTCGCGCCCACACAGAACGCCTTCCGCAACCAACGACGCGGATACGCTTCTGAGGAGAATGGACCAGACAAGCATGAGGGCAACCCAACTGGTCTAGCCTGGGGCGCTGGCGCTCTCCTCGTCGGTGCTGGTGTATACGGCCTCTACACATACAAGCCAGAGTTGTTCGGCCAGACCAACAGCAGGAAGATCTTCACACCCAGGTTTGAGGACTACCAGAAGGTCTACAACCACATCGCCAAGAGGCTTGAGGAGCACGATGACTACGATGATGGTAGCTACGGTCCTGTTCTTCTTCGCCTTGCATGGCACGCATCGGGAACGTGAGTATTCTGCTTTCCTGTCTACCAGACACATGAACTGACAGACAACAGCTTCGACAAGATGACGGGAACTGGTGGTTCCAACGGTGCTACCATGCGCTTCGCCCCCGAAGGTGACCACGGCGCCAACGCTGGTCTCAAGGCCGCCCGCGACTTCCTCGAGCCCGTCAAGGAAGCCTTCCCATGGATCACCTACTCCGATCTGTGGATTCTCGCCGGTGTCTGCGCCATCCAAGAGATGCAGGGCCCCAAGATCCCGTACCGCGCTGGCCGCACCGACCGTGACGTCTCCTTCTGCACACCCGACGGCCGTCTGCCCGACGCCAGCAAGGACTCCAGCCACATCCGCGCCATTTTTGGCCGCATGGGTTTCGACGACCGCGCCATGGTCGCCCTTTCCGGTGCACACGCCCTAGGCCGCTGCCACACTGACCGCTCTGGCTTCGACGGCCCCTGGACCTTCTCTCCCACCACCCTGACCAACGACTACTACAAGCTCCTTGTCGAGGAGAAGTGGGCATGGAAGAAGTGGAACGGTCCCAAGCAGTTCGAGGATGTCAAGACTAAGAGCTTGATGATGCTGCCCACCGATATGGAGCTTGTTAAGGACAAGAGCTTCAGGAAGTACACCGACCTGTACGCCAAGGACAACGAGGCTTTCTTCAAGGACTTTTCCGAGAGCGTCATGACTCTGTTTGAGCTCGGTGTACCGTTCCAGCAGCCTGAGGACCAGCGCTACGTCTTCAAGAGCTCGTTCGACTAAGTCTGTGCGAGAGTGGGAGAGAAGCATTGGGGGTTACTTTGAATCAGAGATATCCATCTAGACTATTAGACCGTTGCTTAGTTAAAGGCAGCATGCGCTAGATCACTTTTGGAGGTTATACATTTATTGTTACTTGCTTTGTAGACTTTGGAAATACAGTATACGAACAAGAGGTCGTACATATCGTCCCTATTCACTGTGAGGTGCGTCGTGACGATTAACGCAGACTTTCACATAAGACAACAACCACTCTGACTGACGTTGGGTTCATATACCGCGATTTATGTGCAGCGGGAATGCCCATGTTGCGTAGATAGTCTGTAGCTTCCAACATATCGTAGTCACTTGCGCTCAAGCCATTGAAGTGAGTATGTTCTCGAGCGTGCATCGACCTGCCCTATCAGTCGCTCTTCAGCGCAATAGCAAGTTGTGCCGTCTTCTTCTTCCAGTACGCTTGATGTTCCTTTTCAACTTCACGCATGTCACTCAATTCCTGCCTGCCCAGTTCTTTCACCTCCTTCTCCAGGTTTTTGATGTCATCATCAGGGAGCCTTGTTGGAAGAGGCAGGGTGTCCTCGCGATACCTCGAGGGCTGGTATATGAACTTTGGAAACATGGTCGTTGGAGTGACGGCGTTCTTGTTGTTATGGGCATCTGCTGATCCTCCTTCTTCGAGAAAGGTAACGTGCTTCCTCTTGGTATGAGACTTATTGCGTACTGGAGAGCTCTCGTGTTCGGGGATGAAGAGTGTGGATTCGCCGTCAGTGACTTTCGATGGCGAAGACGAAGCAGATAATGCCGATTCGTCCGACGGCTGCTTGGTAAATAGCATATGTTCCATAGCTTCCTCGCCTAGACATGCCGCTCCTAGCTTCCAGATCTCGCCGAGAACAACCTCCCACTCCTTCTGCAACTTCGCTAGTTTGGCCGTCTCTTTAGTTATCAACTCATCGTAGTGGATCATGCGAGTCTCAAGTGTCTGATCAAGACGTACACTCTTTCCCTCACTGTCAGTGCGCCTAAGTGATAGGGTGAACTGAGAGATGGGTTGGTAGAGCTGAGTGGCTAGGCGCTCGTACTTTGCTGGGGCAGAAATCTTGAGGGGCGAGCTAATGAGGTCCTGTTGGTTACTGTTGTGAGTAACGGTCTGCAGGGTACTTTCGTAGAGGGTATGAAGAAGCTTTTCCAGGGTCTTGTTGATCCTGGAAGAAGCTGTCTTGTAGAGATGGCGACGGTACTTATCGCTGGCATCTGTGCAGTATGATATTAGCGGTCTGCGCTCAGCACATGAGAGAGCTTAGCTGTACCTTTGAATTCTACGCCTAGAGGATGCATGTTCGAAGAACTCTTTCTCACTACTCTCTTCTCTACGCTTGAGTGAGACCCGGCGCTCAGCAATGTGGTAGCGTCAGCATCGTCCCTGGTGAACCTGGAGTTGCTGATATTCGTCTGACGTGTGAGGTTGCCTTGTTCCCTGAAAGCACCCTGGTTCCTGAAAACGGCAGCAGCGGATACCGTCTTCTTCGCCGGTGGGCCCATGTTGCCGCGCGCCCGCAGTTCAGGTACGTTGCGCTCGACCTCCATTCAAGCTACCTGTGTTTGGGGGTGTCGAGGACGCGTTGCGAGTACTGAAAGAGGTGAAGTCGAGCTTTGGTGCAGACGCAAAGCTTGTGGGTTGTTCCGGCTCCGTTGAGGAAGGCGCGTGGTGACAACGGAAAGAGCACTCATATTAGCCACATCATAGAAGGGCAGGAATTGGTTATTTCCCCTTCAAATAGTGTGTGATTTGAAGTATATCAGGCATCCCAGCCATGAAGTTCATGCGTGTCTTGCTCTTCGTATGTATACATATAGTTGTTACACGGGTGACAGAAGCTGGCTAGACATTCGCAACCAAAGCGATAATGTATGGCATAAATTCCATGCGCCTCTTCTATTCGCCGTTGTATTATCTACCTCTTAGGGTGCCTGTCCCTCGGCTGGCACAACTACACCCTTCTCTTCCAGCATCTTTGCAAGCGATCCATCTTGATGCATCGACATCAGGATGTCACAGCCACCGACAAACTCCTTGTCAACGTATAGTTGCGGTATGGTCGGCCACTCGGAGTATTCTTTGATACCTTTTCGAATTTGTCAGCATGTAATGCCCCGTTGCCCATCCTGCAGCCACCCGAAATGCGCCGCAGGCTCGAGTCCTACGGCCAGGTGGCCAAACCTGCGGGGAAACCGTGAAAACGTACCTTGCCTCAGATCCTGGTCTTCCAGCACGTTGAAGGCTGTGAACTTCTCCGGATCTACACCTTGCATGCCCAAAATCTGTATGCTGGCTCTCGAGAAGCCGCATTGTGGTGTCTCTGGTGTACCCTTCATGAACAGGACAACAGGCGATGATGCGACAGCCTTGTCGATGGCAGACCGGACTTCATCGGAGAGTAATCGTGCTTGGAACGGTGTGAGGAATCGTGCCGAGGGGATGGGTCGAGCTGTGCTGGCACGGGTGGCGGCTCGGAAAGCCTGGTGGCTGTCAGATTGAATTGATAATTAGACGTACATTTCAGGAGCTTACCGAGGGAATTGCGCGTCTTGCAAACATCATGAGTGGTTGGAGTGGTGCAGGGAAGAAGTTCGGGTGACGCGATCACCTCCGCTGTTCGCCGCACCCGAAGTTTTGGATGAGGTCACAACGCCAAGGCCGCTGAATCACCAACCTCCCATTCGTCCGTTCTCACTTTGGCTTCATTCACGAAATGTCAGCTCACTAACGACTATCTATACACTGGGGCTTCGCGATGGCCAATAATCCTAAAGCTAGACTCACGGTGCATGTTAACCAACGCCTTTAGGCCTCAGCGAACGTAGACACTACTATCGCCATAATGAAGTCCGTCGCTTCAACTTCCATTAGGTGGTCTGCATCACACTGTTCGTTCCAAAAGAGGGCATGCCTCAGACAGGCTACAAGACCTCGTGATGCGTCTCATATCTGGAAAGACAAAATCCGACCTTCCTTTGTGCGCATGAGCGAAACGGTATACAAGCTACGAGCTGTCATTTGGAAACCTCGTTCCCATGGCAAATATTGGCAATCGAGGCTGCTAGCATCGAACTTGATCTACTTGTTCTATACTCAGTTTGCTAATCTCACAACGCCTATGTGTGTTAGCAGTGTGTGACCGGCAGATCACGCCTTTTACTCACCTGCGATTGTCAACTGCTATGCATATCTGAGGAATACGGTCACTCGATAAGCTTGTCTAAGTATATCAACAGTGAGTGTGGCCTCCCAGCGTTCGATAAGATTATTGCCAAGCTCACCCGAACCTGATTCGTAGGCCTCTACCACCCTCATCCTCACATGGTTTTTCATCCCATGCGTCTTTGTCCCCGGCAGGACTCCTCTGCAACATCATGGTCTTCCCATTGGCTCCGCGACAGTGGAAACATCATACAATATGACTTCGGCGGAGCAAAGCTCGCATACATTCCTCAGCATACCATCAATCAAGTTGCCTCCGACGAGAACATCAGAGCTGTCATCTCGTTCGACGATAGCCTCAGTGACTGTAGCTCCGACACCAAAAATGGCCTTATCACCAAGATTATCCTATCAGGGAGACGAGTATTTGTCATCTGCATTCTGGGCAAGATCTCAATGAAGTATCTCCGGGTGTTGCTCGAAGAAGATCATGTTACGGACTCTGAACTTCCTATAGCAGAGAAGAGGATCACCTCAGGATTTGCAAATTCACCTTACCTCCTCGCAAGCTTCCTCCGCGCCCAATTTCGACTGGAGGGTCTATCTCAGATGCCAACACAGGGACGATTTCATCAGCAAATCGATGAAGCCCACACTGTCCCTATCTCCGTCAAAAGTAGTCTATACGATAGCCTACAGTCGCACGTCTACGAGATGCAGATCATGTTTCCGGGGACTAATTTTCCTTTACCCCCAGGCCAAGATCTCGTCATCAAGAAAGCATGTTCATATGCAACCAAATGCGTTACGGAGCGCAAATTCCTCCAAGCGCTTGCCAACAACGATATCTCACATCCACATATTGTGACTTCCTACACTGGTTTTTGGTTCAGGACAGCACAGTACGTCGTCAGCGAGCGCGGCTCAGGAAACCTTTTGAAGTTCATGACGAAGTATACTGACGGCGCTCAAGCGCGTCTTAACTACGACTGGGTTGTTCATCAGTTCATGGGCCTCGCAGACGCTCTCGCAAAGATACACGGGCCTACTACGAAAGGTAATACTGGGTTTTACCGCAACATCAATCTCGACAATATCCTTGTTTTCGCCAAGAACGATCTGAACCTGCAAGACAGCACTCTGAAGTTCTGCGGCTGGGGCTATGCAAGAATGACTGATGGAGAACGGAATGAAGAGACGAGTGAAGCATCATGTGAACAAGCAAGCGACGAGTCGATTATTGGAGCCTACAATGAACACAAACCGTCGGAGGTCATTCGTGGCTGGAACATCGCAGTGTCTCGTGACATCAGGTGCTTAGGGCTGGCCTTTCTCGAAGTACTCGTATGGTTCCACGAGGGTGAGGTCAAGATGAGTGACTTCGTGAAGCAGCACCGATACCGTTGGATTGATGCTCCTCCAGGAGGGATTGCACGTACCGTCCAGCAGAAGATGAAAGAGATTGGCGATAGAGGTGCTGAGTGGAAGACTCTGGTCGATATCATCGGCCAAATGCTACAGGTGGACGTGGTGAATACTAGCAGAGCAAGTGATGTAGTCACTGCCCTGGGCAGCCTCTTAAACACTTAGTAGGTCGAGAACTCTTGGAAATGCGTTTATGAAGCTCACTCAAAGATCAAGCACTTTTATGGTGAGTCTCATCCCGTTCATTCTGCGATGTTTCCTTTGTTCGTGCAGCTCTAGTTTACGGGAATGGCAGGTTCACAAATTCTCAATTTCAACACTATACCCTCCACATTATCTTAACTCTTGTGATCAATACGCCCGTCAACTTCTTTCC